ACACACACACACACACCATTGTCATCGTCGTCCCCGTCCCCCCCCCCAATGGCTGCCCCTTACCACATGTCTGTGGCTGTGCTCAGGGCCTCGTAGTTGATCACTTCAGGAGCTGGGGAGGGGGAAAATGGAGGGGAGGAAGTAGGAAGACCACATTTAGCTCCCTCGGCCCAGAGCTGCTTCGTCACTTCTCCAAACAAGGGCCCGGCTTTTAGGGAAGGTGGGACTTGGGGAGCACCCAGTCCCTCGGCCTCCCTCTTCCCAGGGCCAAAAGCCGTACCGATGTACTGGGGGGTCCCGCAGAGGCTTTTGAAGGCCACCCCTTCCTGCAGCTTCTGCGCCAGCCCAAAATCGATGATCTTGATCTTGGCTTTGGGGACGCCCTTCTCCAGCAGCATAATGTTCTCCGGCTGTGGGAGAGACGGGAGACGGATGGAAGCTCCTGCCCAAGAAGGGTCCGGCCGGGGGGCAGCCCAGAAGCCCACCCCCCATGGGGGGGAGTGTACCTTGAGGTCAAAGTGAGCGATGTGGAGGCCGTGCATGTAGGCCAGGCCAAGGAGGATCTGCTGCAGGAACTCGATGGCTTCGTCCTCGGACAGCAGCTCCTTCTCCGCAATGAAGTCGAAGAGTTCGCCTCCCAGGATGCTGTGGAGGAGCGAGGGGTGAGGGGCTCCTGAAGCCCCCCCTCAGGAGCTTCAGGCCCCTGGGGGAAAGCGGGGCCTTTGTGGGGGGGGGAGAAGGAGGGGGGAGCTGCCCCCAGGAGGCACTCACAGCTCCAGGATCAGCACCATCTCGGCTTGGTTGGCGAAGACGTCGTAGAGGCGCATAATGTTGGGGTGCTGCAGCTGCTGCAGGATGCGGACCTCGCGCTCCACCTGCTCGCGCTCCAGGCCCAGCCGGCTGCCTTTGCGCTTCCGCACCTTGACGGATTTGGCCGCGTAGAAAACTCCGGTGCTCCGTTCCTGGCAACGCCGGACCACCCCGAAGTGCCCGCTGCAAGGGGGAGGAGGGGGCCGAAAGGGCGGAGGGCGGGAAGTCAGGCGCTCCACAGAGGCGCCCCTCCTCTTCTGTCCCAGGAGGCGCCCGGCGGCCTTCATGGGTCACAGGAGCCCCTCCGCCTGCTTGCCTCCCCCTTCCTAGCGGAGCAGCGGAGGGAGGGGGAGGCAGAGCTGGGGTCTCCGGTCTCCGTGCCCTGCAGGGCTCACCTGCCCAGCGTCTCCAGCAGTTGGTAAAGCTCGTCCACACTGCAGTGGCGGAAGGGATCCGCTTGGGTGGCGCTGGTCCTCGCCTCGGTGCCCAGGAAAACCTCATCATCTTCCAGGCTGCAGGGGGGCTCCTGAAGCGGCAGGAAAGTGGGGGGGGGAGCCGAGTGGCAAAGATGCCCACTTGGAGGAGCGCTCTGTGCCCTGCAGGCTACCATTTGGGCTGGTTGGCAAGAGGGGAACGGCTGTGGTGCCAGGTTGGCCCCTGTGGGCAGAGGGTTTCCAGGAAGAGACAAGGGGGGGTGACTGACACTGGGGGGGGGGACCTGTGAGCACATTCCTTTCCTCCCCCTCCCCCCAATTTCAGTCCCTCCAACCATTCTAGACGCAGTTCACAAAATCTGCTTCTGAATCCTTGTGAGGAAGGGGGTCCCAGGCCCTTTCTGATGGGGGTGGGGCTCCCATTTCTCCCACCCTGTCCCAGGCACCTTGGCCAGTCTGCAGGCAGAGAGGCAGCAGTGCGGGGGGGGGGCGGGGAGAGAGTCGGGGCCCTGGTTCCCCCCCTCACCTGGATCCCTGCAGCCCCCGGATGGCCCGGGCAGGCTT